AAGTCCACAAGTCTTACATTCTGGGATTTTCTGGTTGGAAGACACTAGTGCCACACTGTAATCTGTTAGGTAGAAGCTATTAAATCAAGGGTGTCTTAACTCAAGGCCCGGGAGCTGGAGTTGGCCCATGGTGCTGCCCTGGAAACATCAGACTGGCCCGCAGTGCCTCTGCCAGCGAAAATGGAGCATTTTACACACAAGCATATCCAATAACTCCATTTTTGCTGGCAAAAGGATGCAGGAGGCCGTCACAGCCGGAAACGGATCTCAGGAGCCCATTTTCACTGGCAAAGCGCTTGGTCCACCATAGGCGCCCCTGACATGAGTGATTTAGAGCTGGCCATGCCCACTTCTCCTCCCCCCACCCCGAGTTCAAACACAAATCTGATGCGGCCCTCAATGAAATCGAGTCTGACACCCCTGTATTACATGATATTTTGGCATCCCCTCCGGTTCTTGGTTTTCCAACCCATGGAGACAATCTAAGCTTGCCACCACAGAGCTTTGCAACGTTTGATATTGCAAAGCAGAGTGTATCCATGGTTGGTGCTTTGGGCTAATCCCGTGATGGCNGGGGGGGGGGATTTTTGGCGTCTCCTAATTTCTGAAATGAACTTTCCTGAAATGATCTGCTTTTTAAGTTAAGATGCTCCAAGTATAGCCGTTTTGAGAGAAAGACTTTTCAGAGTGAAGCAGGTTGTACCTGGTGAGGTGTTCTCCCCCCCCACTGTTTTTTTATCAGCTTGTGTGATTCTGCGCTGCTCTTCTTTTTACTTATGGTTGCATTGCTATTTTATGACCCAACTCTCCTGTCCCTTTATTTTTATTTATTTATTTCATCAAGTATGAATTAAATAACAGATATAAGTGTAGACATGATTATGGATACATGAAATGAATATGAGTACAAGAGAATATTAGGACAGGGACAGTAGACACACTGGTGCGCTTATGCATCCCTTAATATACATGTACAGTAGGCCATTTTACATCCTCCCCCAGCTTTTTCACATTTCTACTCACTTGTCCCTCCAGCTAATTTATGTTTTACAGAGTCAACAACAGCCTCCAAAATTTATAAAATATATGCTCTTTTGGTAATAACCCGCCACGTTATTATCAAGATTTAGTTTATCTGATAAGCCTGAATTTGGAAAGAGGGAATGCAATAATAATATATTTGCAAATATAACTTACAACTTGAAATGTGGGTGTAATGGGACTTGCAGTCTGGCACCTAACCCTGTTAAATGAATGAGCATGTAAATGCATCATGTTTTTGCAGGTACATGGGAATTACAGGGCATTTGGATTATTTCTGATGGCTAGTCTACATCATTAGTATTGGTTATGAATTAGAGCTATGCAGTTCAGTTTCTTCACAACTGAATATTTCCATATTATGAAAAGATAATTGAACTAATTTGCATAGCATGAATAGAGCTTTTTCTGACAGTGTCTATCCAGAAAGTCAATATTGGGAGCAAGGAGCAAGCTATTGAAAGAGGCTGATTCAGGACCTAATTGCTTTTTATTTTGTCTCTAGAATGACTGACTGGGAGACAGCCCCTGCTGTGGCAGAGACCCCTGATATCAAGCTGTTTGGAAAGTGGAGCACAGATGATGTTCAAATCAGCGATATCTCCCTGCAGGTATGAAAAGAGAAGTTAACAGGTGGAATTTTGGAAGACAAAAACTGCAGAGTGCTTTTGTCTTCTGGCTAGAAGAAGAATTTTATTCTGATATTTATTCTAATGCATGACTCTTTACTTGTATTTTTGTAGGATTACATTGCTGTGAAGGAGAAATATGCTAAGTATTTGCCCCACAGTGCTGGGCGCTATGCTGCTAAGCGCTTCCGTAAGGCCCAGTGCCCAATTGTGGAGCGCCTCACCAACTCCATGATGATGCATGGGCGCAACAATGGCAAGAAGCTCATGACTGTGCGCATCATTAAGCATGCTTTTGAGATCATCCATCTGCTCACAGGAGAGGTAAGCATGGGGAGAAAAGATTATGTTAAGGCATGGAGCAGGATAATTCTGTGAAATGAATTACTTGAAGGGCCCAAGAGAAGGAGAGATGAAGTTATACTTACTAGAAATAAATAGCTATAGTATGAATGAGGCATAAGTCATGTATTTGGAATTACAGGCCTGGTATAGTACATTTGATGGACAGCTATTGGTGTTTGCTCATTTTCTTAAGTCTACTTTTGAAGCCCATTAGTATTTCCCATTAAAGAGTAACATTCCACTTGAATTTTTAATTTATGGAACAGAGATGCAGCAAACAGTTTATCAGTCTTGAATAGCAGGGTGCCCAATTGCTTGCAAATATCGAAGCCTTTCTAAAGGTTGTGACTAAATTAAATGTTTAATGTAGCCAAAGGGGGGAAATAACTAGTTTTGCATTTGTCCCTAACTAGATGTTAAGCTATCTCCTCATTGACATATCATTCAAAGAAGAGGTTTGATCTTCAGCCCAAAATAGGTTTAACAATCATGATTTAAGAGAAGTAAATTGTAAAAATCAACATACCCACAGAATTTTCAAGGACTGTTTCGTTCCTGAGTAACACATAATTTAATATCTACTTGTACTACATCTTTAAATAGAAATAGATTTGACCTCAATACAAATACATCATTTGAATTTTAAACAAATCCTGCTTTGCTAATAAGCTATTAAACGTTGCTTTTCTCACAATATTTAGCTCTATTGACATAGCAGGTTTGTTTTAGAGTTCAGGTGATGTTTAAATTTTTAAATGTTTGCTCTTAAATCCTATAGGAAATATTTGCTATTAAATATATAAGTTGTACTTTCTACCTGCCTGGTGTAAAGAGTAATTGCCCAGGCTAGAGGTCCTTGTATAATGCTAAGAAACTCTATACCTAGAATGTATTGCTGTTGGAAAAGGTGTCTAATCTTAATCTGTTTCACCCAAAATCCTTTTCTATTTTTTTGAAAACCTAGTACAATATTCACTGCTTCAATCATTTCTCTCAGAAAGAAATACCAAATGAATAATTCATATGTGCTGAGTATTGGGTTACATGGGAGTAAGTCAAGAGCCGAGGTGGCGCAGTGGTTAAATGCAGCTGAGTGGTTAACTGCTGATCTAGCAGTAGCCTGCAGTGCTGCATTTAACCACTGCGCCACTGCAGGCTACTGCTAGATCAGCAGTTCAGCGGTTCAAATCTCACCGGCTCAGGGTTGACTCAGCCTTCCATCCTTCCGAGGTGGGTAAAATNCCAGCCCCACCTAGATGGAATGTATGGTGTGTTGTTTTTAAATTTGTTTCTCTTTTTCTATTTTTAACTCTTATCTTTTATCTTGTTTTTGTAAACCGCCCGGAGTCCTACGGGATTGGGCGGCATATAAATGTATTAAATTACTAATTTATTAAATTACATTAAGTTTTAATCACAGAGAGACTGCAATCCTCAATTTTCGAACACAGTAGAATAAGCAGAGGACAGGGGTCGAAAAAGTCAAGATGGTGACCAGACCATGACAGTGTGACCAAGGCCCTGCCCTTTGTATATGGGGTGTGGCTTAAATCATCCCACTGCCACCACCATCTTGAATTTTCTGACCCACTCTAAGGAAACTCAAGAGCAGATCAGGACAAAAGTCACCTTCCCATGCTAGTAGACTTCTAGATCAGTGTATCCCAACACTTTAAGATGAGTGGACTTCAGCTCCCAGAATTCCCCAGCTAGCTAGGGAATTCTTGAAGTCCACCCATCTGCACCTGCCAAGGTTGGGAAACACTGCTCTCGAATTTCTCTGGATTTTCAGAGAAAACTTGCAGACTACAGGAACCAGGAGCACCACTCAGGTGACTCTGAGTGATAAACACAGATAAACCTCCAAGACAGACACAGATAAACCTCCAAGGGCTTCAGCGACTCTCTAAAAGGCTGCAAATGACCAGCTGTCTGCAAGGAATAGAAACCCTTCCATTCCCCACTACCCTGTCAGAGCTGAAGAAGCTTCTTGGATGAGAAGCGAAAAGTCTTCAAAAGAAGAACAAGAAAGTTTAGTTGCCTCCTGAAAAAAGCATCTTTGGGACAACTATGATCTGGATGACTGAGAATCTCTGCAGACTTTTTGCTCTAGAAAAACTGCAATGATTTAATGTTCTCCCTCCCATCTAAAAAATAAAAAAAAAGTTTTTTCCCTCCACGTTTGCAAGTTATGAGTATGACTTGCCCTATTTCCAAGATGCACATTTTAAGATTTTTTCCAGATTCATGGACCGCTACACTCAGGATATGCCAACCGCAAGGACGGGCAGAGAAGGTCAAATTTAGGTGGAGTTGCTTTCTCGAAGGTTAAAATTTCATCGCCAAGGTTGAAGGTAGAAATGTGACCTTCGTACCTGGGAACACAGAGAGCAACCACAGACCTCAGAAAAGATAGGTAAAGGTAAAATTTCCCTTCACACTTGTGTGCTAGTCATTCCCAACTCTAGGGGGCGGTGCTCATCTCCATTTCAAAGCCGAAAAGCCAGATCTATCCGAAGTCTCTGTGGTCAAGTGGCCAGCATGACCACGGAGCGCTGTTAACTTCCCACCAAAGGTGGTCCCTATTTTTCTACTTGGATTTTTACATGCTTTCAAACTCCTAGGCTGGCAGAAGTTGGGACAAGTAAAGGGAGCTCACTCCATTACACAGCACTAGGGATTCGAACCGCCAAACTGCCGATCTTTCTNACCTGCTGATCTAGCAGTAGCCTGCAGTGCTGCATTTAACCACTGCGCCACCTTGGCTCCTTTATATATATAAAGTGTGTGTTTGTTCCAGCATAACTCTGAAACACCTCCAGCAATTTCAACCAAACGTGGTACACAGAGGATTTAATCTCTGGAGACAAATACTGGAAGGGGTAAGACACCCCTAAAACCTCTTGGCATGTGTGTTCTGTTAAGATACAGCCTGTTGTACCTTAGATTTAAATGTATTACATTTAAATCTAATTTCAATTTTTTTTTATTTTTCTTCTTCCTGTACCTTTTGTGCTAGATTTTTTTAGATTATGATGGCAATACTATTTTATCTTCTACTTGCCTTATATAAACATCTCTGGGTGCCTTTTGACCATTTACTTCTTACTTTAAAAAATAAATAACAAGAGCATAATGAGTGAAAACTGTTAAGGAATTAATTTTCTATTAGGAAAAAGACCCACTTTTGATGAAATTGAAAATGAAAGTAATTTTATTTAGTGAGACTGGTTAAACATCCACTTTTTAAAAATAGATTGTACGGAGAGAATGCTAAGGGGGTACCAACAGAGGAAATAATTCATTTATTTTGATTGTAGGATATACTAAAACAAACACAATTAAAAAAATTTAAAAAATCCAGCCCAGATGGGTAAATAAGAGAGTTTACTTGCCCTTCTAGTTCCAAGTAGGGTTTTTTTGGATCAAATTGGAAATGCTACATACTTGACAATTATTATTTTATTATACAAGTAATCCTCATGTTACAACCACAATTGGGACTAGCGTTTCTGTTGCTAAGAAAGGTGATTGTTAAGTGCTTCGCATCTGATTTTATGTCCTTTTTTGCCATGGTTGCTAAGCGAATCACTGTGGTTGTTAAGTGAATCACACAGTCATTAAGTGAATCCAGTTCCCCCCCCCCCTTGACTTTGCTTGTCAGAAGTGGCTGGGAAGGTTGCAAATGGCAGTGACATGACCCCTGGTCACTGCAACTGTTGTAAATAGGTGCCAGTTGCCCAGAGCCTGAATTTTGATCATGTGACAATGGAGATTGTCAGTTGCTCTTATCTGAACTGCATGTCTTGAAGATGGCGTGGGAGGAGTCACAAATGGGTATTAACACAGGCCTTTTGCCCTGGAGACTGAGGTAAATCTTGAGGCCACACCTCCGTTCCTCCTCTGACCTCCCAGATTAACCAATGGGTCATTTCAAAGCACCTGGAAAGGAAGGGACAGAGAAAACACACACACATCCTTCCTGTCTGGTCCGACTGACCACTGAACTAACTTAGGTCCATAGCGCAGGGTGCCCTAACGGGGGGGGGGGGGAAGTGACTACTCCCACGCCATCTTCAAGACATGCAGTTCAGGTAAGACCAACTGACAGTCTCCAAAGTGAGGCGTGGGAGGCGTCACAAATGGGACATACCAAAGCTAGATGTCCTTGGGAGGGAATCAATGGGCCTGAGCCTCCCAAGAGTCCAGGACTCCCTGAAGAACCCTCCTCCCGAAGCCCACCTCTGCGGAGGCGTATGCGTGTAGCTGGTAGTGTCTGATGAAAGGCGAGGGAGAGGACCAGGCAGCAGCCCTGCAGATCTCCTCGATGGGAGCCTGAGTGGCCCAGGCCGCTGAGGTGGCAGCACTTCTGGTGGAGTGTGCGGTAATGCCCTCTGGGTCCTGAAGTCCGCGTGCCTCGTAGGCCTTGGAGATGGCCGCTCTGATCCACCTGCTATTGGTGGCCAAGAAGACCTTGGCTCCCCAGGTGGACATCTGAAAGAAGACGAAGAGGGCCTCTGTGTGCCTAAAGGGCGCCATGCACTTCAGGTAAATGCGTAGGGTTCTTCTGACATCCAGCCGATGCCAGGATCTTTCTCTATCCCTGGAGGGCTGTGGACAGAAGTCTGGCAGAACTATCTCTAATGCCCTGTGGGAGAGTTGATCTTGGGCATGAACGCAGGGTCCAGTCTGAGGACAACCCGGTTATCTAGGAAGGTGCAGAGATCCTCTCTGCTGGAAAGAGCGTTAAGCTCGGATACCCTCCTGGCTGAGGTGATGGCAACCAGGAAAACTACCTTGAGGGTCAGTAATTGGAGAGAAACCTCCTTCAAGGGTTCAAAAGTTGCCTCCGTCAGGGACTGGAGGACCGTGGGCAGGTCCCAGGTCGGGAATCGATGGACCACAGGGGGTTTCAGATTTGCCGCTCCTTTGAGGAAACGCCTAAGGACCGGGTGCTGGGATAAAGGCGGAGCGTCCACCTCACCCAGGACCGTGGAAAGGGCAGAGACTTGTCTCCTAAGGGTGCTGGGGGACAGACCTTTTTCCAGATCTTCCTGCAGAAAGTCCGAAACCTGGGGCATGGATGCCGAAGCTGGGTCGATGTCCCTTGCTCGGCACCAATCCGCGAAGGCGACTCAGGAGGCGTTATAGATGTGTGTGGTTGAATGCCTCCTGGACGCCTCAATAGTCCTAATGACCTTCGCGGAGAAATGGCCCCCTCTTAGTTGTTCCCGCTCAATCGCCAGATGGTCAGATGGAGCCACTCTGGGTCCGGATGCTTCAGAAACCTCTGGTGCAGGGACACCTCCCCTTGCGGGATCCTCCAATGGAGAGCTGAGGACAGACCCACCAGGTCTGCTAGCCAAGGATGACATGGCCAGAAGGGGGCCACTAGAACCATCTCTGCTCTCTCTGTCACTAACTTCCTCAGAACCCCGGGGATGAGGGGAAGGGGAGGAAAGGCGTAGAGGAGACCGGTCAGCCATCTGCAGCGAAGCTCATCTGTGTCTATGGTGCCTCTGGACAGGAACCTTGATATGAAGCTTGGCAGCTGGGCGTTCACTGGAGTTGTGAAGAGATCCATTGCCGGACGTCCGAACCTCTTGCAGATCTGTTGGAAGACAGTGGGATGGAGTTGCCACTTTCCGTTGTCGACTGTCTCCCTGCTGAGCCAGTCCGCCTGTTGGTTCTCTATCCCGGAGATGTGTTCCGCTCTGATCGATCGGAGGTTCCTTTCCACCCAGTTCCCCAACCGGAGGGCCTCGTTGCGCAGGGCCTTGGCTGCCACGTTGTCTGTTAAGACCAGGACGTGGTGATCGGTCATTGTAGTCTTGAAGTGGCGTAGAGCCAGATGGATGGCTCTGAGTTCCAGCCAGTTGATGTTGTTGCACAGATCTGTTGGAGTCCAGTGGCCCTGGGCCATCTGGGATTCCAGGTGCGCTCCCCAGCTGAACAAGCTTGCATTTGTTGTGAGCACCTTCCTCGCTGACTCCCTAAAGAGTGACCCCTTGTTTAGAGCTGGGGTCATCCACCAATGGAGCGAGAGAAGCACCTGGGGCAACACTCGAACCTTGAAGCTGGCGTCGCTCGTCCCGGCTCTCTGGTGTGGAAGCAGGAGCTCCCTGGCGTGGAGACAGGCCCAAGGCATGATCCCTATGCAAGAAATGAATTTCCCGAGGAGCCTGGAAAGAAGAACTACAGGGACAGAGCGTAACTTACGGATCTCCTGAATCAGCTGAACAATGCTGTCCCTACTCTCCTGGGAGAGGAAGACCTTGCCAGACATCGAATTTATGATGGTCCCTAGGTGTTGGAGCCTGGTAGAGGGGACTAGATGGCTCTTCTCAATGTTGATTGAGAACGCCAGGGACTTTAGAGTGTCGATGGTGAGGCCCAGATCCTGCATGGCTAGGAACTGCCTATCCCACTGTCTGGGAAACCTGGGTGCAGGGTACCTCTGATTCTGGAAGTCCGACTCAGGTGGGCGGTAAGATGCTCTCCTAGGATAAGGAGCCTGTCAGTGTTCTGACCGTCTGGTCGTGGCCGGGAAGACCTTATGCTTATTCTTGTCCTCCACCAGAATGCGGTCCAGCGAAGAACCGAACAGTTTATCCCCGGTGTAGTCTGCTCCTGCCAGGTGCCACTTTGCGCGAGATTCTGCCTGCCAGTGGCGCAGCCACAGTAGGCGCCTGGATGCGACAGAGGACGACAAAGCTCTCGAGGAATACTTTACCGCGTCCAGTGTGGAGTCCGCCGAAAACTGGGTGGCTGCCTGCACCTTGGAGATGTCCTGCAACAGTCGTACGTCTGTGGCCAGGGTCCTGTCTCTTAGCTGTTCCAACCATAGCACTGTGGACCTGTTAAAAAAGGAGGCAGTCGCGGCCACCCTAATAGCCCAGGTTATTACCTGAAAGGACTTACGCCATCTCTGCTCTCTTGTCCTCTGCCTTGAGACAGTTAGATATGTCCCCAGTCACCACCGCAGAAGATGAAGCCAGGCTAGTGACTGGAGTGTCCACTGGAGGTCAATGTTCCCTCTAATTTTTTTTCAGTGTGAGCGGAAAAGTATAGTGTTTGAGCGGTACATTTTCATGCCTGAGCACCTGAATTTTTTTCACAGATGTCACCTAAGACAACAACGAAATCAGTGTTATTTGAAACTCAAAGTTATGTTTATTCAAGGGACCCGCTTAATTAAAGTGTTCTATAATATCAGTATGACTTATAATACTGCAAGTCTGCAATATTAAAATACTTGTATAGGGGATCCCCGGGATCCCCCGAAGAGATCAAATCACAACCAGTATGCCACCTTCTTGGTATATTGGGCTCTAGGGGAGTGTCCAGGTCTGCCGTGGCTCTGGCCTTACACAGTAAGGAGCTAAACAAGGAGGGGGGAACAGCCTGGTAATATTGGGCGCCTCAGGGGCCTGGGCTTCCTCATCCTCTGAAAACCCCACCTCCTTCAACTCCCCTTCCTCTAGCTTCGAGTCCTCACTGGCAGTGAAGGGGGAGGGTGACCTGGATTCTCTGAGAGCAGAAGATCTGGGACGATCCTGATGACCCCTGGGGTGATCCCGGGAAGACTTTGTTCTGGAACCCTGGGACTGATGCTTCATCCCAGAAGCAATCCCCTGCGCTATGGCCCTGGCTAAGACCTCCTGGAAGCTATCAGGAAGCTCTGGGAGGGATGGGTGCAGCTCTGGGGGTTGTAAGAACTCCCTTGAGTCTGGTGATTGAGGTGCCAGCTGGCGCCTAGCAGGGCTGGGTGCCCTGCGCCCAAAGGGGTCTCCCCTTGCCTCCGAAGGATGGGCAGGCGATAGGGGGGCAATATGGAGCTGTGCCCTCTGCCCGAGCCCCTTGGGGAACCTGGGGATTCAACCCAGGCCTCTTCTAGAGTAGGAAGCTGTGGGGGGAGCGAGATCTGGAAGGAGATGGGCTAATAGTGACCCTGACCTTCTCTTAGAGGCCCTGGTTACCGGATCCTCTTTACTAGAGGTCTCCTTCCTAGTGGGTTTGGGGGTGCTTCTCTTGGCAGGGGAACTCCCTCTGGTGACTGGGGGAACTCCCCTAGAGGTCCCCTCGTCTGGGTCTGAGTCCCCTGGAGACCTAGGCCCGGCACCCCCGCTCCTCGCCGCCTCCACCATAGTACTCACAGTTACACTGTTCACCACTTCCTGTCTCCTTGCCGGCCTCGGTTCGCTGTGTGCGTTGCCTCTTCAAAGGCTCCGTATTCTTCCGATCTCTGCCGCCGATCCGCGGCCCGAATGTCGGCCTACCACCGACTCTGGGCCCTCCCCGCATTGCTGGCAGAGTTCAGGCCCTGTAGCCTCTTCCAGCTTTGGCGGTGTCTTCTGAGCACTCTCGGCGTCCATAGAAGGTAAGCCGGTCACGCACTCTCTCACATGCTCCAAGATAGCGGAGATGCTAAGATGGCGACCGCCAACCTGCAGCCTGATCTCCTCCGAAGCTCGGGAACGTTGGAAGATGATCCTTGCTGGTTCCTCGGTCCTCCAATGCCTTGCAGAGGTCTCCTGGAAGGTGTGCAGCCATCTCATGCGGACTTCGTGGCGCGGAGGCTTCCTGCCCTTTTACGCGGCCGTCTGGCCACTTGGGGCTCGTGCTAGCAAGCGGTGAGGCTTTAGATGCTAGCGGCGCTGAGCACGGATGAGGAAAGGTGAAGCAATCCAAAGGTAAAGAAACCTAAAAATATCTTGGGGGAAAAAAAACTTAGAAGTCTTCAAAGTGAGGGAGAGTCAGGAAAACACTCCTTCTGGGCTGGAGACTGAGGTTAATCTGGGAGGTCAGAGGAGGAACGGAGGTGTGGCCTCAAGATTTACCCCAGTCTCCAGGGCAAAAGGGCTGTGTTAATACCCATTTGTGACTCCTCCCATGCCTCACTTCGGAGATGCTACATGCTATGATGGTCATAAGTATGAGGACTGGTCATGTCATCATTTCAAACGGTCTCTAAATGAATGGTTGTAAGTTGAGGACTATCTGTATAGTAGAATAACACTAACAGCAATACTATAACTCAGTGTTGCTCAGTCTTTCTATGCTGGCTGGGGGATTCTGTGAGTTCATATACATGCATCTTAAAATTGATAAGGTTGAGAGATAATGCTAAAACCTTTGATGCCAAACCTTTGAAGCCTCAGTACTTACCTCTCTGCCTCTCCCGGATTTTAGGCTTGGCAAAGCGTCGGTGGTTAAACCCTGCTTTGAGTTTCTTGTGTTCCACAGAACCTCCCTCTTCTGGGCTGGTGGCCATCCAGGAGCTCATGCTGTCATCATCCGTCATGTTCCCATTTCGGCTCTCCAATATTTCGGATCTTCGGGGCAGTTGTTTGTTGCAGCAATGATCATCTAGGTTGGAAGAGAGAAAGGCTAAGTGAATCACACCTGGCCAGAGAGATGGGATACTCAAGAGCANGAACTGGTCTGAACTGGTAGGAACCCACCTCTGCTCTGTGGATACAAAACTGATTTGCAAATATGTTTGCAAATCCTTACTTACTTTTTCTTCTCCGCTGTTGCTTTTTTTTTATCCAGTCCACTACAAAGTTAGATAGCAGCATGGAAGATACGGCCATGGATATCCAACATCTAAAAGCCACTCAGAAGTACTTGCAAGAATGCATTCACAGCAAGCAGACAGGCTATGAAGTCGACGGTAGCATTAAACGCCTGCGGCAGCGCCGCATGCATCCACGCACCAACATGAATGAGATTTTTGAATTGGTCTATACCTAGGAAGTCTGGCAATTAATGAGTACTAAAATAAAACCTGGACACTTATAGTAGTCAACTTCTTTCTAGTTAAGAAGGGAAAAATATTTGATGGGCAGTGATAATAGAATGGAGTACCAAATTCAAAATACTCTTAACTTAGTCAGATTCCTAAAATAGACGGGAATGTGGCTGCTTAATGTAGAATGTGGTGTAGACATTAAGGTAATAGAGGTTAAGTTAGTGGGAAGACTCGGGTTCAAATCCACCATTAGCTACGGAAGCTCACTGGGTGCCTTTGGGCTATTCAGTCTCTCTGTTTTATCTAGTGCACAGGACAGTTGTGAGAAAATACGAAATTTGGATTTAGTAATTAGATTTACAATATGAGAAAACAGTAACAGTGACCTTTGATTGAATTATCCCCTGCCTTTGTTCTAGGAGCTAGATAGCATACCCTATTGAAGCCCGGTATCCATATAACTAGCACATTAGTTTTTTTCAGCAGAACCTCTCTCGACCAGCTGCCCTGGACCTGTTTTTAATATACACATAGCATCAGAGAGGTACCTTTATACTGACTGTTGTTGTGGCCCATCAGCTGCCAGCAGAGCTAGCAGCAGAGTCAGAGAGGAGGTGGTGGAGGGTCAACCTGGGNTCGCCTCCTCCTCCTCCAACAGGCAACAGCACTGCCGGATCCAGTTGTAGACTCGAGTATAAGCCGAGGCGGCTTTTTTCAGCCCAAAAAGTGGGCTGAAAAACTCGGCTTATACTCGAGTATATACGGTATTACTGCTGTTTCTTATATTGGTAAAATAATATTTGCAACTCAGGCTGTTTTTTTTAAGTATCTCTGCCTTCTGGAAACTAAAGGTTACACTTGTGTGTCCCTTAATACAAGGAGGAAACCATAATATTGGAGAAGCTAAAGTTAGTGACAGCCAGATTACTAACTTAACAATTCCATGATTCACTTAACAACTGTGGCAAGAAAGGTCGTAAAATGGGGCAAAACTAGCTTATTAAATGTTTCACTTAGCAATAAATTTTTGGCTCAATTATGATCATAAGTTGAGGACTACATGTACAACTAAAAATACAATTGGAGAATTCCCAATACATAAATATTGTCTGTCACCTCACTTTTTTTGCCCTTGCAGTTTTAGAGAGATTTCAATAATAGCAAGTATAGTAGAATAAAATTAGTTACAGTCATGATTATATCTTTGAATTTTGTTTACTTTTTGTTAAAATCTCACTTCAATTAAAACAAAAAGTAAAGATTAAAATTTAGACATGCAGATTACTTAAGTGTTAGTCATCATGTGCAATGTGCTCTACTGGAAACTGGCTGTAAAATATTTAACATTTTGGGCTATTTTTTGAGTAACGTTGGCTCTCTAATCCTTTCCCAGACTTGGCTTGGATATGGTTTAAACCTTGCTTGATCTTTGTTCCAGAATCCCCTCCAAGTCCTGGTGAATGCCATCATCAACAGTGGCCCTCGTGAAGACTCTACCCGTATTGGTCGTGCTGGCACAGTGAGGAGGCAGGCTGTTGATGTGTCACCACTGCGTCGTGTCAATCAGGTAGGGGTATTTATCAAGAGGGGTAGATTGATGTAGTCTCGGCCGGCTATTTTGTGAACATATCTCCTATGTCTTCATATAGGCTATTTGGTTACTTTGCACCGGGGCACGTGAAGCTGCCTTCCGAAACATAAAGACCATAGCTGAGTGCCTAGCAGATGAGCTGATAAATGCAGCAAAGGTAAGAACAAAAGAATCGAGAGCTGAGCTGAGCTGTGGAGAAGATGGCTCTTTGGTTTAAGAGACCACAGACCTAGGAATCAAATATATAAATCTTAAAAGAGTATTTACATTAGCATATCTGAGACATTTCAACAAAGTCTTCTAAAAAACCCAGCAGGAGCCCAAGTGCAGCGGTGCTAAGTTGCATCTCACAGCAGCAGTGCACATTTTGTTTACTTGGGGTTGGATCTGTGAATAATATTATATATAGGTTATCTTTGTTGGATTATACATTAGCTTTTAAAGTGCAGAACAATTTATTTCCTGTCTTTATTCTAGTCCTCACTGTTCATTTGGCAAAAATAGCTATCATTGCAAGTAGCCTGCAAGTATTAGCAGTAAACAAAGAATACAAGTACATACAATTCTAACATTGTGAAATTTATTTTATTGCTTGATTTCTTTGGTGTATATATAGTCATCCATCTTATAAAATGATTTGGGCTGAATTAAAAATTCAATAGAAATACATTAATACTAGTAGCAAAATTAAACACAAATTTGTAACCAAAAATTTATGACACCGAGGCCAATAGCAAGTGATATGGTAGCCTCCATCTCATAGATCCCCTTAATCTTGTGACCCCCCAAACGTGGGAACAAAGCCACATTGTTAAGGCAAGTATCTCTTGAATGGCTACTATCTTAAGATAACTGATGACAGTCTGGCATGTAATCAGTTAATTGTACCAAAAAAGTTTCTGGTGTGATAGCTGATTGGCTTTTTCAGCCATGTTCATGAAAAACCGCTCTGCTGCTATACCTCCCATTTATCTTGAGTTGTTTGGAGGATGTGAGAGAAGGAGCAATTTACATAGATGTTTTCAGTGATAATGTCAGATGGGATGTGTGGTTGCTTAAACTGTAACTGTACTTGTTCCTAGGGTTCCTCCAACTCCTATGCCATCAAGAAGAAGGATGAGCTGGAACGTGTGGCCAAGTCCAACCGTTAAAAAGAGTTGTTCCTGGAAACCAAAGCAAATAAATCCTCATTTTCATACTGTTACACTTCTTTGTGTTGCAGTTCACTTGTTGAAGCAGATGGGATTTTTTTCTTTGATTTGAGGGGGTGGCCTGGTCGGATTATAATAGACATGTTATCTGGAGGTTCTTTTTTTTTCTTTTTCAAATAATTTTGTTAAAGAGATATAAATGGATACAAGTTAATATATAAACTACAAAAATACGAACAGAAAAATACATTTCTCCCTTCATGCCATCAGGTAAAAACAATTTTAGTAGGTTAGCACCATCTCTGATTAGCTCACCTCTTAGATTTAAAAGAAGTCCACATGCTACATCAATCAATGTTTGTCAGCAAACGTTCAGTAAGGACAACCAGATACAACTATTTTCTTCTTTTAACCCTGGTCAAACAAGCCAATGTTATAGACTTCCCCTAAGTTTTTAAAATTATTCTTTAATCCCCTCAAATAAAAAAGCCGAGAGGTAATTTGCTGATTATGTGTGTATCAAAGTGAAAATTCTTCAGAACTCAAGAGATTCCTTTTGTATCAATAAGTAAATTTTATCCTTTTGTTTGTCATCACTAAAAACATCTTTCCAAATCTTAGCAAAACTCTTTTATATACCCAGAAGAAAAAAAATAATCCAACCAGTTTCCTTTTTAATATCTCTACACCTCCATTGGGGAATAAGAAACATTAGATCCATTTGCATTACATTTAAATGTCCATTCAATTTAATTTCATAAACATTCATTGCAGCTCATTTTGTTTAACAACTTCATTTAAATATACAATTTTATCAAATCATTTAATCCATTTTCTCAAAAATTTGGCTGAGAAGTATTCAAAAGGTCTCAATAAGGATTTCTATACTCTGGCTGTACTGTCCACCGTTGAAGTTCTTTTAAAAATACCAAAGCAATCTCAATTTTTCCATGATAAAATATCTTCTATAATTCAAAACTTATAATTCCAAATTCCTTTGGCCACTTAATCTGTTGTTAACTTTCCAAAATCCATATACTATGGATTTTTGCTGCATACTCCCAAAAAGTGTTTTCAACCATCCCGTTGGCATATACAGCAAGAGTATAACTTTACTGATAGCATAGATCAGGGGTGTTAAACTCGTGGCCTGTGGGCCCGATGTGTCATGCATTGGCCACGCCTATCCCCGGTTTAGTGAAGGGCGAAATTGCGATACATGACATGACAACATGAATTTGACACAGCTGCCATAGATCCATACGGGCACAGAAGAAGTGAAGCTAGCTGAGGTTTTCACATGAAAAACATACTTAATTTCCCCTTTTCCCACTTGGGCCGTCCATTGTCCACCAATCCAACATGTTCTTATACCATCTTCTAAAAGGTAGAAACTCGCCTGAATCCACTAAAACCTTACTGGTCCAAAGGGTCTTAATCTCTCCAATATACAAAAAGTCCAAATAAGTGATTAAGATATAAAAGTTGTTCAAACTTAATGTGAATATGAGCTTGATGTAATCCTGACTCAACCACCCATAAGCTGATTGTACAAAATGGAAGTTTCTGTTCATGAGGGATGACTGACTGGAATTGCTGGATGATCTCATTGATCTTTGTTCCAGAGAAATTATACCAGCTTGGATCTAGCCACGATTCCCTTCACAAAAGCTGTCTTGATAGTCAGCAAAAACCAGAATATGTCAGCTCACTATGATGCCCACAGGAATTCCTATCTGGGGCTTCCTTTTGGAAGATGAACTGTGATTTGGGCAAATAATCCAGAATGTGGACTGTTAGCAGTTCAATGTGACAAACCAATAGAGCAATGAACTAGAAGCAGTTCTAAAAGCACACTACCATTGATGCAGAGTAGGGGCATCAAACTTGTGGTACCACTTTTCCCGTCAGGAAGCTGGGCTGGGCATGGTCTGTCTGAAATGCATTGGGCCCATGGTCTGCCAGGTTGAAACTCCCCCCCCCCCCCGATATAGGGGCTGCTTTTCCTATAGCCCAGTGATGGCAACCTTTTTCTTACGGCGTGCCAAAATTGTGTGTGCCCTCACTCACGCATGCCCACACCAATTAATCCTCCCCACCCACCTGCAAATGCGTGTGTGACCCCCCCCCCACATGCATGACTCCTCCCCAGGCTTCGGAGGCTTTCCTGAAGCCTGGGGAGGGCAAAAACGTCCTCCCCCAGGCCCCTGGAGGCCTTCCAGAAGCCAGAAACAGATTGTTTCTGAACTTCTGGTTGGCCCATTTTTCACCCTCCCCAGCCTCTGGAGGTTTTCCTGAAGCCTGGGGAGGGCGAAAATGGCCTCCACCAGCCTTTTGGAAGGCCGAAAATCAACTGGCCAGTGCGTGGCTGCGCACCATAGCTGATGGCTGGCATGCCAGCAAATATGGATCTGTGTCCCACCTGTGGCATGCATGCCATAGGTTTGCCATCATGGCTATAGTCTTTTGATCATCTTTTAAGATTTGTATCCCATTTTTTGTTTAGGAATTCAAGGTGGTGTAAATGGTATCCCTTCCATCTATTTTTCCTCCCAAAAACAACCCTCTTAGGCTTGAGAGAAAGTAGCTCAAAATCACCCAGGAGCTTCTGCATGTTGAAGTAGATTAGATGCAGGGTCTACTATCCCAGTGTTTCTCAACCTTGGCAACTTGAAGATGTCTGGACTTCAACTCCCAGAATTCCCCAGCCAGCAAATGCTGGCTGGGGAATTCTGGGAGTTGAAGTCCGGACATCTTTAAGTTGCCAAGGTTGAGAAACACTGTACTATCCTATTCAACAGTCCCAAAGCCTTCTCTAATATGCTAACCTTTTTATCTNTGAGGACCCAGATTGTTGGGGGCAATATGCTGACTCTCTGTAAACCGCTTAGAGAGGGCTGAAAGCCCTATGAAGCGGTATATAAGTCTACTGCTATTGTTGACTGACTTCACTTCCACAAATTCTAGACAAACGAACATTAACATTACAAGATGCACACAAATAAGATGGTGGCTACCTTAATATAATGTTAATATAATGCAGTCCGTTGCTATAAAGACCAAAGAGGATGGCCATAAAAGAGAGACTGGGAAAATGTATTCCAAAGAGATGAGAATGAGAAAATAGATAAAAGTTTAGGGCATCTGGAAAAAGTATGGAAATATCTGAGAAGTCCTTAATTCATACAGGAATAAAAAAGAAGAGGAAACACAATCATACTTGGAGATTATGTTATCAATGTACATGTAGGTGGTCCTTGTTTAGTAACTGCAGTGGGACTGGCAACTGTTGCTAAGCAAAACAGTTGCTAAGTGAAAAATGTCTGCTTATGATCTTATTTCAGCTTTCCTTCGCTTTACAAACCTGCAGATATTGTAAATGTGTCAGTCCCAAAGTTGTTTTTTCATCACTGTCACAACTGCTACAGGTCACTATATCAGGCAATCTAAAAGATTACTACCAGTGAAAGTAGCCTTTTGTCTTCTGTGGAGTTTATTCCTTAGTCTAGTCTGCCTCCTAGAGCTGACAGTGGATTTGTTGTTAAGGCCTGCAAAAAGTTGGTGCTGGGAAACTGCTGCATGAGAAATAGAAGAGAAGGTCAAGGCAAGTGTTTGCTGGTTAAGCCTCGTGAATATTTGGTGGCAAGCAGCCTCAGACTTCTATTATGCCATAAAATAAATAAAAGCATTTCTGAAAAGTTAGACACAGATCAGCATCAAAGGATATTGCTTGCTTAGTGCTCCTATGATTTGGTGGCCACTGATGTTTGGAGGTTTCTGAAGTTCCCCCAGTATCTTGATTGGGCTAGCATTTAGAAAGGCAGTTATGAATACTTAGCTTTTGAACATTTTAGTTATCACATTTCAATGCTGCCTATTTTATCTAAGGGATTCAGGGCAGCTTACAATAAAAACATCACAAAATATAAAAGCATAAGAAAGAATAAAGTTAAAAGTTAAGAACAGAATTAAATGATAGGATTACAGTATTAAAAAGTTTAAAAAACTGGAAACACCACCTTCAAAACAGCGATCATCCCCAGGATTGCCTAACGCTTCAGCCCCTGTGCTAATTGTCAGAACCAAATCTTAATGGTTTTTGAAGGCCAAAATATATAATTTGGGGAGAGATCTCCACTGTTAAAACTCCTGGGAGGGATGAACTAAAAACTCACAAAACGAAATTGGTATTCACATATTAAGTTTTGACTTTCTCTTTTTATATGTTTAAATATCTACAGAAAATTTAAAAGTGGAAACCTTCCAGAAAGGGAGAAGGAAACAATAAAAGCAAAGCAGTTACATATAGAGAATCATTTCAGGCACACATCATTAAATCTCAACCCTTTGTAATAATATTGATCAGTCTTTTAATTATATTAATAGAGAACTAGCTCACCATTGCTATTTTTGCTGCAGAGAAATTGAAACCACTTACTCAGCAATTGTTTTATCAAACTATCTTGTGCAGAGTAGTTAATCAAAGGCAATATCTATAATATGCTAGATTACTATCAGTATTTTGATTTTTGAAGTGTTTTAAACCAAGATTTTGAATGTCTCAAAATTAATTGCATAGCCTTGCTGAGGAGATTAGAAAAGCCTTATTACAAAAATCATTATTATTGATCTCTAATCATTGAACAATGTCAGAAATAAAAGGCTCTTTTTGCATTTGTTCAGGTCTAAAGAAATGGGCTTTAGGAAAGCTACCAGGTATTTATAGGCTTCTTTTGGCTACAATAGTTCCATCTCCATGATGCTGTTCACAAATTGTAATCCAACTAAGCCATCTCTGGGTATAGTGCTCCTTATAGGGTGTGTTGTAGGAAAGTCAATTTGATTACAATACAATACAATACAATACAATACAATACAATACAATACAATAGCAGAGTTGGAAGGGACCTTGGAGGTCTTTTAGTCCAACCCTCTGCCTAGGCAGGAAACCTTATACCATTTCAGATAAATGGCTTAGTTGGATTACAATTTGTGAACAGCATCATGGAGATGGAACTATTGTAGCAAAAAGAAGCCTATAAATACCTGGTAGCTTTCCTAAAGCCCATTTCTTTAGACCTGAACAAATGCAAAAAGAGCCTTTTATTTCTGACATTGTTCAATG